ATTTAGCGTTTCGAAACTCCATTGGCGCTCCGTATATTTGTTGAAAACAAACCGCGACCGAAATGAAGCGCGACCGAAACGAAGCGCGACCGAAACGAAGCGCGACCGAAATGATCTGTATTCGCCTCGCCTAGCCTATTTAGCATGCAGTATATACTACTATTACTAGGCTAGGCCTACGGCCTAGCCTAGCACTAGCCAGGGCCTACTAGCCTAACCCCTAAACTTACCTTTAAATACCATCTAAAATCATCTCCTTCTGGACGCAGGTTCGTGACATTTTCTAGATTAGCTTGAATCTGGAGACCTATGCGCTACGTAAAAAAAATTTAGTGGAAAATTAATAAATGATAAATATTACAGTATGCATAAAATTAAATTTCAATACTAATCGAAAAATGGACGTCTTACCACCATATTTTTGTTAGTGATATCAAAGCACTAGAGGGCAGAAAACATGTTATTTTTTGGCACACAGCTAGCTCCCGTTGCAACACTACTAGTTGCACACACATGATGTACATACACATAATATCGTAAATTTATTAAAATAAGTTTATGTAATGGACAAATACGTTTGGTCTATCTTTCCTTTAATTAGTTCAATGTCAAGATATATATAGATACAGTGACCAGTACACATAATGATATAAAAAAAAAATATTCTCACTTATTTATGAAATTGGATTTGGATTGGATTTATTCAGTGTAAACACCCACGAAAATCTAGAAGAAGACTTATTTCCACTGGGATCCTTCTGGTGGTGATTGGGCAGTACACCGGGAGACAATCCCCTACTCTTTTCTGAAGAGTGTACTGCGTCCTTTAACGTGCACATGGGACATAATGCACACGGGACCAACGGCTTCAACTTCAAGCTCAACCTGCCCTCGATAACTAACGTTACGTTATCTCACATATTAATTCGATTAACACATTATCAAGGATAAGTACTGATTGTTTAACACTGGTGTACTTGGATTCAATTATTGGTAAACGGATTAGTTGCCTTTTTTATGAGGTTTTAATTGTTCTTTACCGCCGAAAGTGCGGTATTCTAACGTTAGTTTAAGGAGGTCTGGTCGTCGGCCTAATCTCAACCGAAACACGGTGCGCTATTGTAACTTGTATTTCAGCCCTCTAGCTGAAACACAAGGAGAGGCAGCGATGGGAATTGAACCGGGGACCTAGAGATCTCCACAGCGCAGACACAGCGGTTACCACCAGATTAGCTGACTGAGCTAAGCTGCTCTCTCTATAATAATTATTCTCACTTAATATTATTTGTTTATA